GATAGAAATATTCAAAATTGGCTTACGTAAAACAGAGTATTGAACATTGAATAATCTGACTTAGCTTGAGGTGTTTGTCGTACGGTAGAGAAGCGACCGTTTGCTGGCGAAGATTAACCCGAATAAATTACGGGCCCTCCTTCTAGCGCCAAACTGTTGTCATATGATTTTGTAACAACAAAAATGTACACCCCCCTTTTTAGAATAAGGGGTATAAGGTTTATATGAATTTGTAGAGATTTGTGGGAGATGAAGATCTATCCCTTTTTCTTTGTTTGTTGGTGTTTGCAGTATAATTTGGGATCAAGACTTGAATACAAAGAGTAAAGAAATTGAAAGAAGTAGAACTGTATTTCTTGTTCTTGAAGGATTGAAAGGATTAGGGAGAAATTCTCCTCCTGAGGCGGTGCCTCCTTTTACAGTAGATCAAGGAGAGAAGTAAAAGTCCTGGTGTGCTTATCCTATAGCCCATATTAGATATTAGTTTTATATGTAGGCTAAATATGGGCCCGTATATCTAATGGGCTTTCACAATACATGTAATTAATCAAATATGACCGCACAGGGTCCAATACTAAATATGACCACGCAGGGCCTAAATAATAAATAAGACCGCGCATGGCCCAATAATTATAGTTTATAATAAATAATGGCTTCGGCTGATATTTGTCTTGTCAGCAATTGTCGTGTCTGTATAAGTGGCTTCTTTGAGATACCTGGGTCGGTCTGGCGGTATTGAATTCTGATTAGTTTTGGACGTGGAGCATCTTGTCTTCAGGGTACTCAGTCAATATAAATAAGACAGAGAAACTTGCTATTTTATATTTATTTAATATATATATCCGTGTAATATTTTAATAGGCGAGGCCAAAATTAGGTAACAACAGTAGGCCCCCGACTTTAGAATACGTTTTCTGAATAGAACTGTTCTAAAGTCGCATGTATAGTCAATTTTGGCCGACTTATGCTTTATAATATGTTTGAATGATGTGACATATGAATGTCGTCCGGGTACTTTGGGACCCGTAGTCGCTTTATCGCTCGTGTTCAGGCTTCGTCCTGACTTATTAATATCAATCATGTTATTTGTTCTGATGAATGTAGTTGACCGCGTGGATAGTCAACTTTTTAAGATGACTATATAAATAGAGGCCTGGATGGCCTAGTCGGGTAATTGGGTACCCAATTTTCACGTTTTGCACGTAATATGACGCATTTTATAGATTCGCGTCAGTAATGATAGTTTTGTGTGAGCACTTGGGCCCCATGATATTCTTATGGGATTCGCGATTTTGATGTCGTATTGAGACAACGCGATTTTTTATTTTTCATATTAATGTGGACCTGGTCGGATAATTTGGTATCCGGTCTTCAGTCCGATTTTTATTGAATTATTGCATGATCGGGT